CAGATTCCAATTTAAGATAAAGTTTCTTAAATTTTTCTGGGGAAGATTTTACTCCTGTGAGATGTGGGTATGTAGATGTGTTATTTCACTTTAGTGTCAAGATAAAAATAGATACTATCCTTCAAAAGAAGCTATAGTTGGTAAAGCTTGTTTATAAAGATTAATGTGTGAAGCTAAATTAGTTCTTGAGAATTGGTATTTGTAGTCATTATTTCACTTCATTCTAAGAACTAGTAGTACAAGGGAATATGTCAAAAATGATGACAATTATTAGGCTTTATAATTTGATTTCTTACATATTAGAATATATAAGAAATCTTCATTTAATTAGCAAACATTCTTGTTCTTTAGCTTCCCCAAAGTGAGACTAAGCTCACTTCCTAATGCAAAACAGTTTGTAATTTTTATGTAAGATGACATGCTATTAAGTAAAGAGAATGACAATTGTTTTTCCACTAATGACTTAGTAATGATAGAATTAGGCAAATCACTGAGCAAGTGTCTAATTTATAAAGTGTGTTGAAAAGTCACTGTGTCATCATTGTATTTATTTAATTCAAAGTAAAAACGACACTAAAATTGTCTATATTTTAATTTTGGGAATTTATCCAAAATTTTGACCAGGCAAGGGTAAAGAGAAGTAGAAATGGTACATTTAAAGAGGTTTTAAATTATAGTGGGGAAGATCTTATTAGGAATATGCTTGACAACCTCCTCAGTTATACAATAACAACATCAGACAGCACACATTCAGCTCAATGGTGAGTCTAGGACCATGTGCTTCAAACACTTTCTTTCATGGAACACAAATAGATGGATTGACTTGAGTCATCAGAATTTTCTTTAGCATGATGCCACATCACCATTTCCCTTGTCCCCAAATTTAATTTTTCTACTTCAGCAGTGATACCAATTCATGGGGATAAGGGCATTGTATATCAGGTTGAACCAATATTTATAGGAAAGGGAAAAAAAGAAAATGAGTAATGAAGTCTTGAAAAGTTAGAGGTAACTATTCTCTGTGATGAGAGAGAGAACGCCTGTGATGAAGAACGAGGAGGCAAATGTGACGGCACGTAGATGACTGGTGAATCTGGGTAGCAGGTGTATAGGTGCTCATTGTACCATTTTTTTTTTACATTTGAAAGTCTTCAATATAAAAATTAGGGGAAGCCCCCTCAAACTAAAACAAATATATATGTGGTAAAGCACTTTTTAAAATTTAGCAATGGTTTAAGGGAATAGAATTTGTCTGTGAATGCATTAAAGGTCCATAAAGTAGACCCCTCCAAAATTTTTTTCCTCTCTATTAACTTTGTTACATTATCTATAGTTTCTATTGTTTATAATGATTAACTGTTTCTATTTTATAAGAGTTTTTGATTTACAGAAAAATTGAGCAGATAGTACATAGAGTATAATATACTCCCCCACACCTATCCCTCTACCCCTCACACATTTTCTCCTATTATTAGCATCTTTTATTACTGTGGTTACAATTAATAAACCAATATTGATATATTTTATTAACTAAAGTCCACAGTTTACATTAAGATTCACTTTTGTGTTTTACAGTTTATGGATTTTGACAGCTATTCAATGACACTTGCCCACTATTACAGTATCATATAGCATAGTTTTATTGCCCTAAAACTGTGCTCTACCTACTCACCCCTCCCTCCCCCTAACCCCTGGCAACCACTGATCTTTCTTACTGTTTCCAAACTTTTGCCTTTTTCAGAATGTCATATAGTTGGAATAATACAGTATGGAGCCTTTTCAGACTGTCTTCTGTCACTTAAGCCCTATGCTGATTTCAAGTTCTTCCATGTCTTTTCATGGCCTAATAGCTCATTTCTTTTCATCATTGAATGAAATCCCATTTTCTGTATGTACCACAGTTTGTTTATCCATTAACATACTAAAGGACAGCTTCGTTGCTTCGAGTGCACTTTTAAAAAAGATTTTATTTATTTATTTTTAGAGAAGGGAACGGAGGAAGGAAGAGAGGGAGAGAAACATCAATGTGTGAGAGAAACATCCATCAGCTGCCTCTCATATGCGCCCCAACCAGAGACTACCGACAGGGGAACCGAGCCTGAAACCCAGGCATGTGCCCTGACGGGGATCAAACCTGGGACCCTTTGCTTTGCTGGACAATGCCCAGCCAACTGAGCCACACCAGTCAGGGATGCTTCCAGTGTCTGATGATTAAAAATAAACATTTGGATGCAGGCTTTTATGTGGGCATAAGTTTTCACCTCATTTTGGTAAATAACAAGGAGTAAGATGGCAAGATCATATGGTAAGGCTATGTTTAGCTTTGTGAAAAAATGTCACTGTTTCCCAAAGTGGCTGTACTGCTTTGCATTCCCACCAGCATTGAATGAGCATTTGCTCCACATCCTTGCCAGCATTTGGTATTATTATTTTTTTGGACTTCAGCTATTCTAGAAGGTATGTTGTGATATTTCATTGTTGTTTTAACTTGCAATCTTCTGAGATACATTGAACATATGTTTATTTGCCATCTGTATATTGCCATTTCTACCTTTGGTGAGGTGTCTGTTAAGATCTTTTGCTCATTTTAAACTGGGTTGTTTGTTTTCTTATTGAAATTTGAATGGCTTTTTTTTTTTTATGGTTCATCTCATGAATTAAGAGAGTGATTCATGTATTCACTTATTCAACAACTAGGGCAACAACTGCATTCCCCTTCTCCCTTAATAACAGAACCCTGACATTGTTGCAGACAATGTCCCAGCTTAAAATACTTAGTATTTCAGGCTCCCTTGCATTTTGAGGTCGACAGCGTTACATGGACCTGGCTGCTAAAAAGCAAGCAGAAGGTGCTGGTTGCTGCTTCCCAGAAAGACTGTTAAAGGGGAAGACTCAGTTGGCACATATCTCTTTGATCTTTTGTCCTTTACCCACCCCCTTACCATTTTCTAGAATGTGATGCATTGCCCAGAGTGGGAGCATCCATCTTTTGAGGAGGAAGACAAAATCACAGGTCAAGGACAGTAGAGCCAATGACTTGAAAGAGCCTGACATACAATGACACCAGGGAGATATTGTGGAAGCCCTAGGGCCATCTCCAGACTTCTTGTTTTGTGATAAGAAACACCCCCTAATTGGTAAGCACTTCAGTCAAGTTTCTGTTACAGACAACAAATTCACTCCTTGATTTGGCAACATTTTTCAAGTACTGTTAAGTGTGAGGTACTAGCCCCCCTAACAAGACTACTCTGAGCAACTTCCATTTAAAGGGCTTGTTCATAGAAGTACTGAAATTGAAAATTTTTATATTATGGATACACTAAGGATGGAGTTACATCATATAATACTAATAATATAATACTAAGTATAGTTATATTTACTACATGTTCTACATTGTACCAGGCATTATGGGGGGAAGAAACAGGAATATAAAATAAGGACGTTACCCTCATAGAACTTGTCATCTAATTAGAGATAAAACTGACCTATATGAAACAATTCAGGAGGGTAGGATTAAGGGCCAATAGAGGGTGAACTAAATTTAGCACCAGTTCATGTTAGGTGGGGTCACTCAAGTAGGGAGGTGGGGAAACATGATTAGCAACCCTGGATACTCACTCTGGGTATCCTATATCTTCATATTTTTCAGTTCTAAATCAATGACCTAAATATAGACATGGAAACTATTCCCCGGGGTAAGTGAAGACAAAATGAAGGAAAGTAATTTACTTTGAATGCCAATTCAGCAGGAATTTATTCTAGTATCAATATTTCAAATGCAGAGCACTGTAATCACTAAAATCCTGTTTACCTTATTAATTACTAGTACATTTCACATTGAAACTAAGTATATGTCATATTAAAATAGAGCTTTTAAAATACCTTTAAAGGAATCCTATGTTCCTTCCCAAAGGAATTGGGATTACACATAAAGAGGGGTGCATGATTTTTCTTTTGCGTTTCTGGTGCTGCCACGTTTGCTAAAATTGTTACGAACTGCTTATCTTTTCCCCTAGCTGTTAGTAGTTGCCTGCTACTAGCTGAAACAGATGAAGATAATTATCATAGGTCTGTAAAGACAAGACAACTTGAATTAGTTTTTCTTGGACGGTTTATCAGAACTTCTTTTTCCTGTAAGTTTTTCGATGTAGTGATGTTATTTGTAAATAAAAAAGAATAAAGGCAGGCAAGTAAAACAAAGATAACATTTCTATTTGATGCCTTTAAACCCCTTTCCTTCAAGACCTAGGAGAACATAGGTGGTTTTTCTGTCTTCTTTCCTTCCTTTTCCTTTCCTTTCCTCCTCCCTCCTTTTCATATTTCCTGCTGAACCATTAACTATCACCTGGCTGTACTCCATTGCCATGGGTTAGGTTGGTAGTTTCAGGGACATCCTATGTGTAATAGATATTGTGGATTTTCTTACAACCCGGCTGGAGGGAGACTGCAGACAGTGTGACTAAAAAGGGAAGAATCTGTACATGGAGATAAGATTTTGTAGGCACAATGTTAACGAACTTGAGAAGGGCATAAAACCGACCGCTGACACGGCTCCAATCCTCTCAGCGTTGCCTGAAAACACGCAAGTTGATAGAGCTGTTTCCAGGAGACCCTCAAAACCCAGGTAAGGTTAGAGTATGGGTGGAAACTTAAAGGGACTGTAATGGATGGGTACATCGTAAACAGAGGCGATACAAAAGCCCTTACAATAAACTCCGCGCAAAGTACCACTACCTCTCCACTCTGGAAGGGACGTAGCCCAAAGCCCCTAGCTCGCGCCGGGGCCCAGGACTAAGGGAGAGCCACCACCTCCGCAATCCCCCGCCCCTCGGCGCCGCCGACGCTCCGCGCTCCTGCCATTTCCCATTGGTCGAGATGCTCGCCAATCCTGGTGAAGAGACCCTGTGTGCGGGCTCTGGTTGGCGGAACCGGCGCTGAGCCACCCCCTTGATCCGGCCGGGCCCCCCGCCGAGAGGGGGCGTGGCCGCGGCCGTGGCCCGGCCGGAGACGGCGTCGCTGGCGCCGCTGCGTGTGGTGTGGTGCGAAGCGAGGGTGCCGGGCGGCGGCGGCGGCGGCGCGGCGGGACCATGGAGCTCGGAGTGCAGCCTCGGCGCCGCTGTCCGCAGCGCGGACCGGTGAGTACGGGCTGCGGCCGGCCAGGCTCCCCTATTCCTACCCCTGTCCTGCTCGGCTCCGGGCCGCGCGGCTCCCTCGGGGGAGGACGGGCACGGGCCGGACCCCTCAGCCCCGCGGCCAAGTGAAGTTGCTGCATCGCGCCAGGCGCGCTCGGGCGGGTGGCGGGGGCCCACTGCAGGATGCAGCGAATCCCCGCGCCTTGCCCCGCAGCCCGGCTACATCGTTGTCGCCGGGCCCCGTGCCGACCGCTGCTTCCCGCCGTCGCGGCGCTGCCTGGCGGCCGTCCTCACCCACACCGCCCCCCGGCCCTCCGGCCCTCCCGCCTCAGCGTTGCCGGGTGCGCGGTACCCGGCTGCAGGTGGCGCCGGGGCCTCCGCTCACGCCCCAAGCACGACGCCCGGAGATGCCCCGCGTCCAGGACCTTCACATCCCTCCCAGTTCCGCGCGCCCTCACCCGCATCTGGCCTTGCTCCGCGTGCTCGCCTCCCCGGGGTCTGGCCCCCTCAATCCTCTCCTTCGCCCTCCCGGCGCCTCTGCGCTCCAAGGCCCCCGCGCCCGGTGCTCCCTCTCCAGGGCTGCGGGCCCGCGAGGCTCCTGGCCTCAGCAGCCAGGCTCGGCTCTCAGCGCAGGGAAGGGGTCAGACACCGGCGAGGACCGGGCGGCAGTGTTGGGGAGAGGGCTGCGCTCCCGGGAGCTTCCTTGTCTACAGGAATCGTCCCCGGGAGACTTTGCGGGGCGGTGGGGGCCGGGGCTCCTGGCTCTCACGCCTCCGCGACAGGGATTCAGCGAGTGGAAAACCTTTTCCTCTCCGTCTGTGGTACTTAACGGGCAATGGCGATTTCTTCTCGGTCTAACCTTTCTGCAAGGGATAGTTACCTGGTGGAGAGCAGAGTTCTTCATTATTAAGAAACTAAGCGATGGGTTTAGGGATTAGTGGGAGCATCTTATTTTCTTACATGCCATTGGGCCGCGAAAGAATTATTTATCACTTGGAGATTAATTTAAAAATCACAGTTACTGTCAGCAATAATTTGGGAATTTTTAGAAACTGAATTTTTTTTTTTTTTTTTTTTGCTTTGAAGCTATCCTAATCAAAATGCATAATGGGGTATGAAATTCTAATGTAAGATTTGGAATCTCATTTTTAAGGGAAAGGGGCTAGCCATTTGAAATACTTTGCATCTTAAAAATGATGTTTGCGTAAAACTTAAAATGTGTGCTTTTCTATCAAAACTAAGTTCAAAGTTTGTAATTGACTTATTTTTCTATTACCTCTAGGGCAAATTCTATTGAAAGTTAGTTGCTCCTTTTGTATATGCTTTACTCAACTTTCCTTTTCTAAGCTCTGAAACAATGCAGTGATTCTTTAAAGCTAGTTCTTTTATCTATTTGAGAGGTTAAACAGAAGAAAGCTGGGTTTGACCTTTCCCATAGGCAGTTCTTATTGTGTCTGGTCTCCTTCCCAATAGTGTCAGTGTAGTACTCTTTTTTTCTTTTTTCATTTTAAAGCTCTTAATTTATATTCACAAAAGTTGTGTTTTCAGATGTTGAAAACTTATTAGGATGGAAAATTTGATTGACTTTATGTATTTGCTGTCTGACCTGTATTCACTGTTAAACGTTGGGAAAAAAGGCTTGTTCTGGACCTATATACATATAAAAATTGTCCTTGCACTTCCAGTTGCTGATATGGAGTTGCTTTATAGCATTGTTTTATCTGTTTGCTCTGAAATTATGACCTAATAGTCAATGATGTGTTACTGTTTTAAAATCCTGGAAATAAAGGTGGAACACACTTTGCTAGTGTGGCCATGCCAACATTGTAGCCTCCTCTCTGTATTCTCATTGTGTCTTTGTAGACATACTTTACACTTACCATGGGAACCTGCACGTGGCAAATAAGTATCCATTGGCTATTGGAATGTTGTCATTAAAACCATTGCCATTATAAGTTTGGACAGAAGGGTTCTCCCCCTGCAAAGCTGTTACCATTTCTTATATTTTTTTGGGAGTGACACCACATGCTGTATAGACCTTTACTTAAATTCTCAGCTTTTCTTTCAGTCTTTTTTTCTTCATACCTTCTATTTCTCTTTAAGGTCAGCTTTTCTTGGGATTTGCTCTTGGACGTTTAGAACCAAATGCTGCTTCGAGTTCATGCATTCTTCTTCAGGGCTATTTCTTCCCCCCATGACTTAATTTTATACTGGTAATACAGGAATATTGTATACCAGTAATACATAAATAATGCATATTGTAAAATAAGTTTAAATCTCTATCACGATTTATGGAGTAAGTCTCAGTTTTCTTTTCTTATTGCTGTCCTGTGTCTCTCTCCAGAGGTAGCCACACAATACTATGGGTGTAGCTTTCCAGAATTTTTTCTATAACCTTTTTGATTCAGAGGCTATTTAGTGAATTCCAGCTAAGTACCAGGCACTATTTTAATACTGGGGTTGCAAAAATAAGAGATGAAAGCTTAATTTAAGATGTTCATAGTCTACTTACACCATTTCTGTGCAGTGCAGTGAGTACTGTGAGTCAGTAAGCAGTGAGGGGTGTGGGAGCATCGCCTGAATGACCTAATCCATTCAGTCATCTGCTTTGCTCATTCAGGAGACTTCAGAGTTTATCATATATTTTGGGGATGCAAGGATAAACAAGGTGATATCTCTGTGAGCCCCAGATGAGTTTACTGTTCAGCTCTGTTCTCAGACAGATTTAACCATTGACTACGAAGCGGTGTTTGCTAAGTGCTCTGAACAGGGCCAGTCACAGGAGCTCAGAGGATGACTGCTTAGGGACGCAAGCTTAGGGACTCTTCAGAGGGATAAGAAAAGCTTCCCAGAGAAGTATGAGAAGGAATTGGTCAAAGTCTGGGTAGAGGAGAGAGTGTAAAAGGCTTGTTCAGGGAATATGGCACAATGGAGCAACTGAAAACAGTTTAGTTTGGTGGTACTGTACAGCACAAGGCCAGGGAAGTCTCAGGAAACAAGGCAGGAAAGTAACTAAGGGCTATGCCATTTAGGGACTTGTGATTCTTGTTTAAGTACCCCTCAATGAACAATAGAAAACAGCTGAAGAGTTCTGCACCAAAAAAGAACATGATTAAATTTGCCTTGGATAATGGATAGAAGGGGCAAGACTGGAAGGAGGGATATTGGAGGAGGTAGAATTGCTAGGATTTGGTTGTTGGTTGTGAGTGTGCATGCATGATGTGAGGGAGTTAAAAGAGGGCCTAGTTCAGGGCAGTACTGAGTTCTGGCTGGATGGTTAAGTGGGTGATGGTGCTGTCCTTCTGGAGCAGGAGCAGCAGCCATTTGGGAGAAAAATGATTGGTTACATTTGGCCTAAGTTTAAGGTGTTTGTAGGACATAGTGTTCTGTTCGCTACATTATGGATCTGGTTATCAGGAGATGTCTGGACTGGGGACACATTTGAGAATTCTGAACACCGCAGTTCCTAAACTCTTTGCTGAGGTGCTGCAGTGGACTCACAGGGAGACCGCAGGATATTAAATTGTTGAAGGAGACCCAGCACTGTGTAACATCTCTCCACCCCTCTGGGAACTAGTAGTTCAGAATAGTTAGCAGTTTCTCCAATAGGTTGCACTACATTCCTGTTTCTCACTGATTCCCACAGAAAGTTGCAGTTCCATGTGTAGGAATCAGAGTGGAACAGGAAGTAAAGGAGGTGCTATCCAGTCTGAGAAGTTGTGAGGTGTTCAACATGTGTACCTATACCATTAGTAAATACTTGTTTTGTAGTTAAAGATGAAGTAAAAACACCTTTCTCTCAATTGAAGTGCGCTTCCCCCATCCCACCCTGCAAATGGGTACTAAATTTTTAGGACATAAATACTTAAGTTTATTTGAACTTATCTATGATTCTGTTACTCAATAGCTGTTTCTTTTGCAGTGGAACCACCGCTTTTGCCTGTGTTTGTTACGGAGGTTGTTGGGGTAGATGAGATTATTTAAGAAGCATGTATAGAGTGAGAAAAGGAATGATGTAGAATGCAGTCTAAGGAACTCTTGTGTTTGAAAGGTAGGCAAGTCAATAGACCCCCATATTGAGACTGAGAAGGATGGGGCCCAGGAGGTGTGAATGAAGTCTTAAAAGTCATGAGGAGAACCTAAGGTAAGGACGGATCTTAACAGTCAGAACTTCATTAGTAATATAGGTGACGACAATGGCAACACAGTGATGGGGACAAGAACGAGATGGCTATTTTGTAAGAGGGTGTAATAGTGAGTGAGAGCCAGAAAGTGGAGCCATTGAGTGTGTACAACTCAAGAAGTGTGGTGGTTGTGCTGTAGGAGGTTCAGTAAAGGGAAACCTTTTTTCCTGTTTTTAAATGGAGCGATTTGAGCATGTTAAAGACTCCAGAGAGAGTGGATGCCGGAGAGAGATCCAGTTGAATGGTGATTTCAAAGTTTCCATTGGGTTTAGCCCTAGAATATAATAACTGATTTTGGCAAGAAGAGTCTTGGGGAGCCTTGTTACTGTGGATCAAAGAGTGATTGGTGCTGCAGGGTATGTGTGTTTGTGTAGCCAGCCAGGGAAGGCACTTTTTTCTAAAACTTGATTTTGAAGAGAAGAGAAGGCATTCACTAGAGAGAGATACCTGGTTGGTGCAGGGTGCATTGTTTTTGGACATTGACTTTTATTTTGTTGTTAAAAAATTATTTTTAATGATGTTTATTTCCTTCCTTTCTCAGGGCATGCTTTTCTTAGAACTGGTTGGTCCTACTGAGAGTTGGGTCCTCTAGCATGGCCTTGCCTTATTCTAGGTCCTGGTGTCCTCTGGAGATTTTGTCTGTGACCGTCCTCTTTGGCTGTCCTGTTCTTTGTTCCCCTCTCTGCTCCTCACCTCAGGCCAGGGTTGTTGTTGTTGTTTTGTTTTGTTTTGTTTTGTTTTAAATCAGAGCCTGTCCTATCTTAATAGATGTCCTTAGAGTAGAATATTTTTCCACACTCAGATTCAGTCTTAATTTCT